CCTGCAGGTCCCATGGACACAAGGCCCAGAGATGCACTCATTGACATCATCCTGGCAGTTTTCACCCTGCCAGCCTGGGGCACAGTCACAGCTATAGTGATTAAAGAGATCTTGGCATGAGCCGTTATTCAAACAAGGATGCAGGAGACACAAGGGTGCACCACTGCACCCAATTAGTGGCTCCTTTGTGCTGCCATAATGGATAAATTGTGAAAACTGAGGTGCTTCTTCATGAATGCCTCCCACCAGTGGCAGATACACTCCCCCTATCCTGACTTCACCAAGACAGCCGGTGAAATTCTCCGCCAACCACACGGTAGAATGGTTAAAGAAATCCAAGTTGTCAGCAAATGCTTGGCTCAAACCTGCCACTTGCCCATCGACAGTGAGGTTCCAAAGAGACAAAGCATAGCGTGAACCTGTCTTCCTGAGCTCCACATGGTGCCATTCTCCATCTGAAACCTCCACCTCACTGTAGAAAGCCAGCACCTCCTGGGTTTTGCTATTACGGATCTTGACCAGTATGAAGGAATTCAGGAGGCCCATGTAAAAAAACTCTAGGCCATTGGAAGTACGAAGAAGTGTGCCATTCTCTGTACGAGTCCGTAGTTTCACAGAAACCAATGTCACTGGAGCAGCTAACGTGCCGCTGGCACTGTACGTCAAAGCATTGTTTTCAAATGTGGCATTGGCCAAGCCTAGGGATGGAATAAAAAAATGGGAAAGAATTTATAAAATCTGAAAAAAAAAGACATTCCAGCATGGTTAAAACAAAACATTAGTAGATTTTCTAAGCCTGAAGTATGGACTTTTCTTTCAAAATATCATCCTGTGCATGTTCATTGTTTCATTCATCCTCAGTAACTGTTTTATACTGGTCAGGATCACAGTGCACCTATCTCAGAAACACTGGGCATGAGGGGGGAACACACCCAGTCACCATGCACATACATTTACACACACAGAGATGTGTAAATCTCTGGGGGGAAACCAGAGAACCCAGAAGAAACCCATACATGGAGAGAACATGCACAGAAACTCCACATAGACAGTAATCTGAGCTCAGGATTAAATCAGGGATCCTGGGGCTGTGAGGGAGCAATACTACCCACTGCAACACCATGCCACTGGGGTGTGTATGTGGTTTGATTAATCAAATAGATACGATTATACTATTAAGTATAGTACAATTTTTGTCTGTGTAAATCTGTGCAGGCTTGATTCCATAATAAATCTGTACTTGAACTACCCACGTCTTTTTTATATAACTTCTTATTTAAAAAAAATAATAATAATAAAACAACTCTTTTGAACCATAAAAGGGTATCTCGGCATTGTACACACACTTAAGACTTGCCTAATAAACACCCAGAGATTCCAGTGTCTGTCCAAAATCTGTATCAAGGCCATTATAGAAACTCCTCAGATCAAATACTCACACTCATATCCATCAGGCAGGTCCACACACTGGCTACCCATGACACATGGATTGCTGGCACACCACACTTGAATGTCACATGTCTTTCCAGTGTAGTTTAGTGGACAGAAACAGATGAAGTCATTCCACTTAATCATGCATTCTCCTCCGTTCAAGCACGGTGTCCCCTACAGAAAGTAAACAGTATGTTTTCAGAAAGATTGAGATAATGTTTAAAATAGGTATGAAAGAAAAGGGTTTTTCCAGATTCAACACACCTAACCCAACCTGACAATTCCTTGTGTTGATTCAGCCTACTAATAAACATTAACCTGAGAAAGGTTTCATTTTTCTGAGATTTGAGAATCTTAACATACTGTAGGATCATATTTTATCCAGTTCCTTGTAAGTGATACTTATTTTTAGACCTGTCCTCAACAAAAGATAATATCTTACCTTACATACTTCATCACTGACACAGTGCTCCAGCAAGTTATGTGAAATATCTGCTAAGTAGCTTGGTTGTTCATGTATTTTGATTATTTTGTTTAAGCTCATGTAGAGTTGAGTGTCATCCAGACGTACGTCCTGTAGGCAACCTTTGAAATGGCCACCCCAAGGTATTGTATCATCTTCTTCAGGAAGTCCACCAAGATATACCACATCTCCTGCCTGCACTTCAAGCTCAGGAAAAGTCCCAGGTCTAAAAAGTATTTCTGTGTGATTGAAGTATAAAAATCCTCCGTGGACATCAATAGTAATCAGTACCTTCTCCCCATCTGCGATGAATGTAGAACTCTCTCTAATAGAAGAGTACACAGCAACATTTATTGTGCCTCTCCTCAGGAACACTGAGAAATATGCCTGATTCCCTCGTTTCAACTGGAGAATAAGGCCACTGGTTTTCAGTGTTCGCAATAAAAATGATACACTGATGTTACCAGCGTGGCTCCGAGTTATGGGAAATGCAGCAAGGCTTCTATTATGCTCATGGCTGAATGTCCATGAAGGGTACTCTGAAGAGAAAGGCAATATATATATATATATATATATATATATATATATATATATATATATATATATATATATATATATAATGGGAAATTATAGCAAATTAATATCCATTATATAAATAGTTTAATGGTTATATATTTTTAATATTATGAAATTCACTATTTTGGATAACATGGCATTTACCTCAGTCAGGATCTTACCATGGGAACAGATGTTTCCATAAAATGGCCTGTGGCAGTCACACTTGTATTCAGTCCAAAGGTCTACACACTGTCCTTGATGAGAGCATGAATCAAGATGGCACCATTCAGGCTTTTCACAGCCCAGTTGGATGTAAATGACATTCTCTTGGGAGAAATTATGGGGCAGAATAAGCTGAGAACTGATGACAAAGTCCTCCATGCAACCAACAAATCCTGTCCGCGTCTTTGTTTTCTTCAGATAATCTTGTGGGACCCCACCAATGTAGACTTTCTCCAGACAATGTGGAGGAAAAAAAAGATGGTGATTGTGATCTGTCTGCTCACTATATGTGTAATTCTTATCTAATAAACTCAGAACCAGCATCTCATCTACAGAAACAGACACTGCATGCCACAATCCATTGTTAAAATTCCCAAGAAGTTCCACCACCAGCTTTAAGTCCCCTGATTCTACTGTAGCAAGGAGATTTCCACCAATCATCTCCAGTGTGAAGAAATGCTGTGCATTTCCCCTGAAGAACAGCACTACATCTGGTAAAGTTGTCCTGAACCGCAGTGAAACACTGGTTGCCTCACTGTCATAAGTCTTATTGTAAGGAACATCCACCATGACATAGGCTGCTTTAGAGAATGAGAAAGTGGTGGGAATGCTACAGTTGTCACCGTAGAAGCCAGAAGGACACCTGCACCTAAAAAGGTGTTTGTCTCCATGTAGGAAAGGCTCACATATGCCTCCGTTGTTGCAGGGCTCATCCACACAGCCAGTCAAAGCAATGTCACAGTTACGGCCACCCCAAGGCAGCTGGTCAGGTACAGATATAGGGCAGTGACAGACATAGTCATTAATTACATCCTCACACAAGGCACCATTCTGACAAGGTGCACTTTTGCACTCATCAATGTTCACCTCACATATGAAACCTAGAATAAGAAGGAAGAAGACAAGGGTCATAATTTAAGCAAGAATAAACAATAAGCTAGTCCAGTTTCATTTGGCCATTGTTTTTACTTCACAGTCATTATTATATTACCAAAAACATTTAAATATTATGTATTACTTTTTTTCTTTTGCAGCAACTAAAGGTTGTAGATTTAATCTGGTATATACAAATATTTTTGTATTTTGTCTTTTTTTTTTTTTTTCAAAATGTTTGGGCAGAGCCAGTTATTTTGTCAGCTGATGAATCAGTTTTGATAGAACAAAGAAACAAGTTAGCATGAGAAACAAGATGGCATAAACATCTGGAATGCCTTTCTTATATTTACACATTCAGCAAGTTCTATTCTTCAAGAAATACTTCAGTCAACTTACAGACTGACCTCTCTGTGAAAAGTATTAGCTGTAACATCTATAAGGTCTGCATTGGAGTAGCATCATCACATATGAGAAAATATCAGTGTAGCATCATCACATATGAGAAAAACAATTGTAGAAAATTTGTCCCACGGTAGAATTAACCATTACATGCCCTCAAACAACCTTCTCAATAATAGGATTAAAGATGGTGAAAAAATAAACTGGAGGTCTTCCAAATAGCATAGAGATAATATGTCACTAAATGCCATAGGGCTCTTCTTATGTTAGCTTATGTTTCTAATAACAACAATATTAGGTTCATATTTAACAGTATCTACATTAACAAATTATTGGGCCATTTTTGATTCTCAAGATTGTTCAGATCTTAGTATAAATAACTTTTTACACTTCTTCCATAATAAGTTTCCTTTGTAACAAATTTATAAGCACTGCATAAACATTTTACAAAGAAGCAATGGTAATTTATCAGCTTTTGTCAAATCTCTTGAGGTTTTATGTGACTTTCTAAACTGTAGAAAATATACACAGTGTTTCATAACAGTGCTTTTAATGCAAATTTGATTACCACTTATTTTTATGTCATAAATATCATTCTGGTACTTCATAATAGTTTTGAATGCAAATGGACCACCAACATTTCAGTTCAAGTACATAATTTAGTTCATAATTTAGTTATTTTCTGCAATAATATCAATAAGCCTAAAGTCAGCTGGGGTAAGTACCCACCATAACTGCACACTGTTTTGGAGTGATTTTCACCCATTCTTCCTGGTCCTTCAGGTTGGTTGGATATTGTTTGTTGATTGAGATTTTTGTTTTTTACTCTTTTAACCTGTAGATTTATTTGGTTTTCACTGTCTAATTCTAAAAGAACAAACTACAGTGGTTGTTCTTTCGGCTGCTCTGGTTAGGGGTCGCCACAGCGGATCTCTGGTCCACACGTTTGATTTGGCACACGTTTTACACCGGATGCCATTCCTGACACAACCCTCCCACTTATCTGGGCTTGAGACTGGCACTGAGAGTACACTCCCAGTGGCTGGATTGGTTCCCTGCTCGGGAATCAAACCCGGGCCACAGCAGTGAGCGCACGGGATCCTTAGCCACTAGACCACCAGGGACCTAACAAACTGGTTAAATGGTGTAATTTATCTGTTGAATAGTGCTATTATCAAAGCTTCCACTGTTTGGAATAATCATTTAGCCACACAGTGGTGTCAGTAGCATGGTTGTTAATTGCAGCATTTGACACTACTCATCATGATATTTTACAGAATATGCTAGAAAACATGATCAGTTTAGACAATATCTTGCCCAATTTAAATCTTATTTGACAGAATGTTACCAACATGTTTCCAACAGAGATTCTGCAGAGCTAAAAGAACATAATATGGTAGTTCAAGGTTGTTTTCTGGGCCTCTTATAGTTCTCACATTATATAAAGCACCTTGGAGATGTAATTTGCAAACATAATGTTGTATAGTTATAATTAGAGGTTCAGGCAGCAGTAAAGCTATGCAGTATTAAAAACGTTATGATTTATATACCATTCTGTATATACGAAATAAGACAAATATAATGTGTGCTATGTAAGAGATTTCAGGTCTTTTAACTTGATAAACCTCTGTTGTAGCACTAATTTGAGCAAAGTCGGTTCTCTTCACTCACTGCTTATGGCATTCTTGCTGGATTTCTTATCCTCTCTAAAATCATGTAATCTGTAACGTGTCACAAATACAAAGAAGAGGAAAGGAAAACTATTTAATTTTTGTCAATAACTATGTGAAGTATACTACCTTATCAAACATAATATATATGGTAGAGTATTTAAGGTCTAAACATCTGCTGTTTCTTTTTTTTACGCCAAGTCCTCCACCCTGTGCTAATATAGACGGCCATGGAAGAGTGCCATGGAAAGCAAATACACCCACACTTTACCTGTCAGGGGAAGCAGCCCACACCAAATCACTGACACTTGCAATCCTCTCATCCTGCTAAAACATCCAAGCAACAGTGACGTTCTTCAACATGCTGCGACAAACAGTGACAGCAAATTGACAAGTCCCAAGGCAGCCATTCAACAACTATCTATCTTTTTCTTATTCACAGCATCTCTCTCTCTCTCTCATGCCCTCTCCTGATCCTTGTCTCATAGGCAGTGGTACACAAGCACAAAGGTATCACATACACACACAGACACACACACACCTCCACTCAGTACCAGGCGGCCAGTGGTGATTACAGGATGAGTCCATTACCACTCCCCCACAGCCAAACTGCCTGGGATAATAATCCACCATGCTTCCCTTTGTTCTCCCTCCATCCAACTCCCTCTTTCTCTTGTCCCAGCTGGCCCTTGTCAGTGCTGACAACAGGAATGCCTGTCCACTCAGGGTGTTTAGCTTCACCATCCTGTGACACGCTCATTACAGATTACATGTTTTTAGAGAGGATAAGAAATCCAGCAAGAATGCCATAAGCAGTGAGTGAAGAGAACCGACTTTGCTCAAATTAGTGCTACAACAGAGTTATATCAAGTTAAAAGACCTGAAATCTCTTACATAGCACACATTATATTTGTCTTATTTCACCAAATGTAAATAAAAAAATTACATCCAAAGCATTTAATGAAATACTTTGACACTCTGAATGCCATTTATACAAAGAGGAACTATTTTACTAATAGTTTACCTTTTAGCTTACATACACATTTGTGTTGCTTTAGGGATGATCAGGGCTAAGGAGCTTTTCCCCTTCCACACTGCTACATTTCCAAACATGCAGTCAAAGCGAACCCTGAACAAGCTGGTATATGGCACCTGCAGCAGCTTTGTTATTCCTTCCTTTATTTGCCTTTGTGCTTTCTGCCATTATATTCATTATACTGTATTGTCTACATAGCTTTTTAAATTATAAGGTTGCAACTATAGGTTACAAAAACATCATGTCTAATTTCTCTGCCCCAGCCACATAACAAGGAAGAATAAGAGGTGAGATTAGGTTTAGAAGGCAGAAGTGCAGACTCACTGTGATAATGAATACATCTGCCCTGAGTCACATGTGTTTAGTTCCATTATTCAGGCATTTAGTCACACTGTCTGCATGAATGAAAGTTGATGACTGTGCATGGCAACAGTGTCAAACTCATGTCCTTGGAGGTACAGTGCCAGTGCCTGTGTTTTCCCTCTTCAGAAACACTGAATCCAGCCCAACAAGGCCTTTTTAATTAGCTGATGAGTTGAATCAGATGTGTTAAATAACACAGAATGCTAAACTCAGCAGGGCTGTAGCTCTATAGTCTGAGATCCCTGGCCCATGGTAATGTGACTCCTAAAAAAAAGGTGTGTCGTCATCTGCAAATCTGGTCACTGTAAAATAACAGTGCTACTGAGAGACTCACCTGTGAACCCCGGAGAGCAAAAACATTGATATGCATTAATTAGATCCTCACAGCTTCCGCCATTTAGGCATGGTGCAAATTCACAATCATCTATGTTAACTGAACAGTTTTCACCTGCAAATCACCACATATCACATTATTATTTTCATGGAATTGTCCAAAACAACAGAGAACCGTATGTTAAGCCAAGAAGATCTTCTAGCTATAGTAAAGATATAGTAAAATTCACCTGTAAAGCCGGACAAGCATTTGCACAGAAAGCCGGCAGCATACTCATAGCTGAAAGACATGTCCAGCTGCGCCAAGACCCCATAATGTCTCTGGTCAGAGCGCTGGAAACACTTGCCACCATTCTCGCAAGGCTGGGCCTCACATTCATCCACATCCATCTCACAGTTCTTCCCCTCATAACCTGTGGCATTAGAGTCATAAATCTACAACTTTTGCATTGTACAGTAAATCCAGTGTCAAATAAACTACACTGTGTTCCTGATACAATTGCTACACTGTATTGCTATACTCTGTTCTCTGTAATGTTCTCTTATGAATTTGACTTTTCTTTTAAATGAAAACATTTAAAAAGGTCCAATAAAGTTTAATGTAGCTTGTCTCAAAGACATTTTTCATCTCCCTCTAAACAGCTATAAGAACTACAATTATTCCTGAACAAAAATAGTTAATAGAACACATACATTCTAATATACTTTATTCATTAGTAAATGAAATGAAGTGAGATAACTGGGTTTATGTATTAGCACTTGAACTGCAAGGCAATATTTATTTTGTATAAATTATTGTGTAATTATAAATATAAACTATTATAAGTTTATATTTATAAGTTTAAACTGTTATATTTATAAATCTAAACATAAATAATACTCATTACAATCCACTATTTTTGAACACTTTCTGGTTCTACTTTCATTTTCTTTCTTTATAATTCTGGTTAACTACACTGTTGGAATGATGCCCAAAGTTTTTTAACTTAAACATATTTTCTCCTCTAGAGGGCAGTGTTTGGTAAAATCTCAAATGCTTAAACACCTTTGACTGATCCTGAAAGGACGGGACTTCCCAAAAGCATTGCAAAACTTGCTCTACCATTTAACACTCTACCATTTAACAATGATCTTTTATGCTGCAATGCATTTGGGAACCTTGGCCCAGTGTAGTAACACAGCAAGAGATGCTTTCCCACTGGTCTTCAAACAATACTAATACAAAGTCATCCACTTTGACAATGTACAGATTCACTGTGAAATTTGTTGCCAACTCAGAAGAAGCCATGAGTACACCCCCTTCTATTCTATGTTTTTATTTATCATGGCCTAAATAACAAGGCCATGTTCAGCTTCTATTAACAAACAAATGACCTCAAGTGACAACAAACAAATCACAAGAGATTTCAATATGTAGTCATTTTTTTCCCAAAAAGTAAACCAACATTCAGAAACCAGGTGGGAAAAAATAAGTACGCACTTCCTGCTTCCACAGTCAATAAGAGAGTAATTAGCAGCCAGGTGTTACTAATGAAATGCACAAGATTAGTTAATCATCAAGAAGTGTGACTACCTCTACCTCTTTTGGCAGTTTGGTGTTCTGGAGCACTCAAGTGTGTGTCAACATCATGCCAAGATTAATTAATCATCAAGAAGTGTGACTACCTCTACCTCTTTTGGCAGTTTGGTGATCTGGAGCACTCAGGTGTGTGTCAACATCATGCCAAGAAGAAAGGACCTCGGAGAAGCAATTGTTGCTGCTCATCAATCTGGGGAGGGGTATAAGGCCATCTCAAAACAATTTGAAATTCACCATTCTACAGTGATTAGGATTGTTTACAAATAGAGAGCCTTTGAGACAGTTGCCAATCTTCCCAGGAGTGGGTGTCCCAGCAAATTCAGTCCAAGGTCAGACTGTTTAATGCTCAGAGACATAAAAAAATAAAATCTCATCATGTGACCTATGGGCCTCTATAAGCACATTAAATGTTTATGTTCATGACAGCACAATCGGAAAAAGACACAAGTATTGCTTTCTTGGAAGGGTGATTAGGAAAAAGAATATAGCAGCATTTGTACAAACCATAAAAGTTCTAGAACAATATCCTTTGGACTGATGACACCAAGGTGGAGATGTTTGGTCATCATGCACAGTGCCATGTCTGGCAAAAACCAAACACAGTGTATCATCACAAACACTTCATACCAACTGGCATGCTTGTTGGTGGAGGGGTGATGATTTGGGTTTGTTTTGCAGCCACAGGACCTGGTAAACTTGCAGTGATTGAAACAACATTGAACTCCACTTTATACTACAATATTCTTGAGACAAATGTGAGGCCATCTGTCCAGCAGCTTAAGCTGGGCCTAAATTGGGTCATGCAACAGGACAATGATCCCAAGCACACCAGCAAATCGACATGTAAAATTTCTCCAAAATGATGTGAGAGACTGATAAACTCCTAAAGAATGGTTTAATTCAAGTTACTGTTGCTAAAGGTGGTTCTACATGTTACTGAATTATAGGGTGCACTTATTTTTTCCCACCTGGTTTCTGAATGTTTGTTTACTTTTTGGGAAAAATTACTACATATTGAAATCTCTTGTTTGTTTGTTTGGTTGGTTGGTTTTTTTGTAGTCATCTGAGGTTATTTGCTTGTTTACAGAAGTTGGTGAGGAACACACAATTGCTATTTAGACCCTGATAAATAAAAACTTAGGA